GGCAAAGATTAAAATAAAAGGAATATAGAGTTACTAAGGGCAGGCTAAGCTGTTGTGAGAAGTCTTAAAAATACAGTGATAAAACACATACAAAGGACATAAAAATAGGAAGCAATATGTGATTTTCATCTCTGGGTCCCTGATGGCTGCTTTAGTTCTTATTATCATCTTATGAAGAGGGGAAGGGCCTGAGGATTTATCCATATTCCATTATAGGGATATAATTGCTTAGTGGTATACATCAGCTCTGTTTACAACCGATAAACAACACTTAATAGTGTGGCCTTGATGAGATGAAAAGGAGGCTGGGAATGCAGTCGTTATCTGAATTGCCATGTTTGTAACTTAAACATGAGAGTTCTGCTAGTTAAAACCATATTCATTAATGATGAATATTGGTGGAAAAATAGCATTCTTGTTATAGGGCAGGGTGAGGGGCACCCCAGAACCCACAAACCTGCCTGCTATAAATAGGTCCTGCCCTCTGCAGCATCAGAAACCTGGAATCTCCCCTTTCCTGGGGACCATCCTGTTACAGTCTGCTCTAATATGTCAAATGGGAACATCTAGTAACATCTAGTAGCATATGTCAAACCACCATCTAGGTGGTTGGGGTGGAGGTAGAGGACTGTGACATATCTTAATGAGATAGAAATCCCCATCTTGTTTTTAAATGACATTAAATCTAAGAAAGATAACAAGAGTGCCTTATGGTTAGAGAAAAGTCTAGGCGTTTTAAGCTGGGAATTCCACCAGTGAAAAAGCTCTAAAACAAAAGAAATGATGTTCAATTAAAGAGGAGAAAAACATATGGGGACTATAACCAAGATGAAAGTATATACATTGTGCAAATATGAAAAATGATGTAAAAATGTATAAAATAAAAAAAGGAGAGAAAAACAAATGTTAAGATAGATGTATTTTGTCACAGGAAGAGTGACAAGGATAAACCTGCAAATGTAAGCAAGGGTCAAATTGTGAAATGATTTTGATATTTATAAAAGAAATTATAGGGAGTAAATAAAGAGCTTGTACAAAGGAGTCTTAGAGATTTTAATTTTTAAGGGGTTGTTTGAATAAGGGTGGAAAATGAATGCACTATGGTAGAGGACTGACATCTTTGGTGGCGGCTGTAGTGTGGTATCATATACCCAAAGAGGTGGAATCCTTTATTTCTGAATCATATAGTGTTGTAAACCAATGTTACCTTAATAAAACAATATATAAACAAAATAAATAAAATAATTGAAGAAAGCCTGAATGGAGCAAGGGGGAGGAATCAAGGGGGAGGAATCAAGGTTTTGTAGTAATCCAGTAGGGTATTTGTCATTAGACTCTGGCTATGTGGACACAGGCAATATGGAAGATGAGACCTAGGACTTAGTGGTGACTGGATGTTGGTTATAAAGGATACAGAGGAGTCAAGGATGTGTCTTTACCCTCAGGTCTGAGACCCAAAGAGTGGCGACAATTTAACGAGTTCCTTTGTCATTGTGTAACAGGGTGGTCCCCAGGAAAGGGGGAGGTTCCAGGTTCCCTGCCCCATCCAAATGGAGGGTGGAGCTGAGCAGGGAGAGAAGAAGCTGAAGAGGAGACTGAGAAGGAGGGAAGAAGGATGGAGCCAGAAGGAGACCTAGAGGAGGCACATGGAGCCTAGAGACATGTGTAGAAACTGATCTTCCCTTTTGGTCGTGGACTGGGTGACACAGATGTGGGTGAGACCCATGGGGAGGTGACAATGGCAGCTTTTATCTTGATTTTGATTTTGCTCTTTTCCGTCCGGGCTTGTCTGGTTGTTTCTGTCCCTTTTCTGTGGGTCCCCACTGAAAGATGCTTTAGACTTGTGGCAGGCTTTGGGGCCTTGCTCTGGGCCAATCCCATTTGGATGGAGTTTTACCCACAAAGGGACAGGTAACTTTGGGGGCTTGATTTAGAAACTAGATTTTTTGCCTTTCCTGTATTGTTTTCTAGTTGTATTAAAGTTCCTTCCCATTAAAGTCTTGTATGTTTTATGTTGATGTGGTGGATGGCAGAATCCATTTAAAATAGGCAGGTTTGTGGGTTTTGGACTGCCCCTCTCCCTGCCCTGTAACAATTGGACAAACTTTAAAGCACAAGGGGTGGTGGAAGAATTCCATTTGAAATCACTGACTCTGATGCACTTAGACACTTTTAAGTAGCTATTTCAGAAGGTTTATGTGTATAGACTTGTTAGGAGCTCAGGAGATATGTCTGAGTAGAAATGCAAGTCTTAGAAACATGGAAGTAAGATTTCTCTTGTTATCAGGCTGAAAGAGAGGACATAGATCTATCTATAAAGATTATCACTATTTAAGGAGACTGGTAAGCGGAGAGGCTCCAAAAAATAGGGCAAAAACCAGCTAAGACCTTAGGAATAAATTAAGAAAAGCCCAGTCTATCATATGCTATTTTAAAAGGTAGTAGGAGAGTAAAGTAAGGATTGGCAACTAGTAGGTTCAAGGAGGAAAAGTTCTGAAATATGATTAAGAAAATTAGAGTCATGTAGGGAGAGTATTTTGGTTATAGTCATATTGTGATTGAGCACTGAGAAGGGAGTGGATGGGTATTCAGATTCAAATATTCAAATATCCAAAGATGTAAGAGTACAAGATACATGGGATATTAGCAACAGAGGGAGATTATGATGTTTTATGCTTGTTTTAATTTTGTAGGCTTTATCTGAGAAAGTTTTCATGGGATGAGTATGTGTTGAGATTATATAGGGCTGTATATTCACCACAAGTTATTTCCTTTGTCTTATTATTTTTCTCCTTATCTTTACATTGGCAGCCAGCAAGACAGGAGAGGTCTGCTGTGCCATGTGGGTTAGCTCCCTCGCCAGGGATCGAACTCAGTCACCACAGTGGCTGGTGGTAGCTTGGTAACACTGAGACTTAAACCCTTGTGCCACCAGGGAGGCCCTAACATGCTGCTCCCCACAGCAGTGTATTTCAGTAGATCTGCCTGTTCTGCTCTCCACTTGGTCTCTGATATACCCTGTCACCACCTGCACTGCTGGCTTACACCCCAGTTCTTGTATGCATAAATAATTAAATCTTTAAAAAAATGACATGATACTTCAGGTCTTTCCTGGGTGACTCTTATGTTCATAAAAATCATTAGTTTTACACAGTACCCAGAAAATAAATCATCACTCACTTAATGCTATTAGTGTACTATTATTACTAAAATACTTTGTAAGCATCATGTCCTTTAATCTTCATAATAATCCAATGATGTGAACTTTAAAAAAAAAATCTTAATTTTACAGTTTAGAAATTGCTGAAGTTTGGTATGCTGAGGAAAAATGGGTCAAAATTTTAATCTAAGCAGTCCAAATACGAAACCTGTATTAAGTAAACTTAAGTTAGAATCCTGAATTGTCAATTCCCTAGGTACTATATTTGCATCAAGTTTAACTTCCATTCAAAGATGGTTATAACTCTTAGAATGGAAAGCACATCCTCTTCATATAGAATCTTCCTGTTTTGCTTTAAGTCATCTTTTATCAGGATGGAATGAGATAAGAATGATAAAGCTCTTCTATGATCAGTATATATCATGACAGTAAATATAGATAATGGATATATATTAAACATATGTGTGACAAACTTTTACATAGGACAAAATATTATCCTATGTATTTTGTTAAAACTTATTTTTCCTGACTCATTGTGGCCATTTCAAAACAAAACCATAAGACTTTGAACGCTCATGTTCTTGAACATGTTCACATTCTGAACAGTCATTATATTATTAACTGAGAATTCATCATTACATATTAAGAAATTTTCAAAATTGTAAAGGTCCATATATGGCTAAAATTTTTGTGGAGACCATGTGACACCTTTTTGAGAATTTAAACTCTTTTCCACATTGCTTGTGGAGTCAGGAGGAGGAGTTGGTGTGAATAGATGAACTGAGTGATGAAGCAGATAGAAAGAGACAAGGAAACCAAACTTTTTACAATAAGCTCAAATTTAAATGTATGTAATAAAGTTACAACATAATGTTGTAGCTTGGTAATGCAGTCTTAAAATGCAGCAAGCCAATTATACTTTCATTTGAAATTTCATGTCCGTATAATAAGGTTTGTTCTTTATTTTAGGGCTTTATTGTAAGTAGAGATGAGTTGGCTTTTTATTACCTGCATCCATTGCTGACTATAATAAAGGAGAAAAAAAAATGTGTGTTTGTGTGTGTGTTGGTGTGTGTATGTGTTGGTGCATGTGAACAGTGTGTACATGTACGCCATAAGAACACACAAATTATGATATAATCATTTCCCCAAAGATACTGTCCATTTTTTTAAAAGGAGATTTAAAATATCACATGTACCCTTATGCCATCATATTCATCATCTCTTTCACATGCCATGTATCATTACACATCATGTAACTTGTATCATTTATTTCTCTTAAATGCATACAAAACCACCAGACTGAAGTATGACCTTATACTTTTTTCAAAATGAATTTCTTTGGTTCTTTTGCAGATAATTATGATGATGGACTTGAAACAGATCCAAAATTAGGTTATCAGTAATATTCCAAATTAGAGTGCTATCTAAAAATTGATGTCAACTGGGAGCTACAATTTTACCATATGGTCTCTGCATATATTCATTATAAAGACATTTACATCCTCCTCCATCTTCTGTCTGTGATATATTTTAGTAGAAAAAGTCATGAAAGCAATGACAATCATATCCCTTTCTTATTTTTATCAACCTGCCATATTAACTGTATTAGAGTAATTTCCTCCCCCACATAGTAAGAGGCTCTTCTTTCTTACTAAGGAACCAAATCTAGAAGGAATACCATTATCATCATGTTTAAATAAAAGAGTCATTTTTTTCCCTTTTCCTGTTTCCCATACCTATTAAGAAGACCTTTGATTTTTCTGTATGTTCCCAAAGATGTTCTCTTGGTATTGTTGAATGTCATCTTAGGTAATTCAAAAACTCTCATTTTAATTACCTATGTCCATTATTCATTTCCACACTTTCCACAGAGGAGTGAAAAGAGACTTCTAAATGTTTCTGTCTTGGCTGTTCCAAAGGACACCTTGTTTAATTAAAAAAAAAAAAAGTATTGTCAAAAAATACTCCCTAGGTATTTAAAGGTATGTAGGCTTTGACAATTACTTGTCTGTCATATATTGCTTTAATGTAATGAACATCATAATAAAAATTGCACTTGTTTTAAAATAAGACAACTTGAAATATAATTAAATTATACCAACAACAGCATGGATCAAAAATGTAATCTTAGAATGTGTTGGGATTTTTGTGTATTTATTTGCTTTGTAAATTGTTTTTAAAAGGAAATTAACTTTCATAGCTCAAGAACAAAATACATAGATAAATAAGTACACTATCCCACAACTGCCAATCATTAGCTCAGTTTTCAGTATCCTCTTACACTCCAATTTAGGTTATTTTTTAGTTAAGTGTGTCTTATATAATCTCCAGAATTTCATTATACATGTACAATACAATATAAATATAGATTATCCTGCCTCTTTTCTGCAAAGTAGTATCTTCTGTTTCTTTTGATTTCTTTGTCATCTAGTATTTTGCCCCCAAGCAAAATAATGTGTACTTGTTCTTTATCTTTTTTCCTGCATAGTTTATGCATTATTTATCTATATTGTAAAGTTTTTCAAGAACTAGCTTTATTTATTTTCTTGTTCTTTTTATTCATTCTACTTTTCTGTTGTCTAACTCATCAAACTCTATTATATCTTCCTAAAAGTTTTCTATTGCCATGTAACAAATCACAGCAAACTTAGTAGCTCAAAGCAAAACTCATTATTTATCGTTTAGTTGGTCAGATGCCCAGATAGATTCACCTGCATTTTCTGCTTAAATTCTCAAAGACTGAAGTTAAAGGTCAGCTGGGCCAAGCTGGGCTGGACTCTATTCTGAAGGTTATGGGATGGAATTACCTTCCATGCTCAATGATTGTTAGCAAGATTCAGATTCTTGGGGGTATAGCACTGAGGAACCTGTTTACTTATGTTTTATTAGTCAGAGGTCATTCTCAGCTTCTAAAGAACATTTTATTATTTTTTTTAAAGATTTATTTATTTATTTATTTATTTATTTATTTATACAAGCACTGGGTACAGTCAGAAGCGTGGAAGGGCAAGAGAATTTACCAGAGTCAGAGTGGAGAGCAGAGCAGGCAGACTGACGAAGTACAATGCTGAGGGGAGCAGCGGGAGGCAGAAGAGGTCTGCGCGCCATGTGGGACTCTCGCCCAGTGGTCAGGGATCGAACCGGCGCTGCAGAGGCTGCAGGCAGCCTCGCAACCAAGCGCTCAACCGATGCACCACTGGGGAGGCCCACCTAAGGAACATTTTAAAGTCCTTGCCATTTGATTCCCTTAACTCTTGAATTGTAGCAATAATGCACAGAATCTTTCTTACACTTTTACTGGCTCTGAATGTTCCCTTCAGCTGCCAGATGGAGAAAATTCTCTGCTTTTAAAAATCTTAAGTGATTTGGGTAGGTATGCCAAGATAATCTGCTTTAGATTAACTCAAAGTTAACTGACTAATCTACATGTACCTATTAAATAATAAGTGAACTGACTAATCTACATGCACCTATTAAATAATATTTTGGTATGTAAAATACATAAACAGAACATGATAGCTCATGGCATTCACCATGTCAAGGCTCAGTGTAGGAAATCTTGAGAGACCATTTTAGAATTCTGCTTTCCACACTATATATTACTTTCCTAACTTTTTTTGCCTTATTATTTTTCAAAAATTTTAGTTGAATTGTGAAATCACTTGTTTTCCTTCATTTTCTTTATTTATTGATATTTGTTTATATGGCTATAAGTTTTCCTTTTGGAAACACTTTAAGCAGTATCATCCATTTGAATATATAGCACATTCATTTTTTAATATATTTCTTTAATTTCATTTTAAGTTTACTTTCAACTGTAGAATTATTATAGAGATATATTTTAAGAGTATGGGTTTATTCACATTTTGTTAATAATTTCTAAGTTTGTCTTCAGTTCTCCATTGTGGTGAAATAATGTTTTCTTATTCTTTTATTTCAAACAGGACATATCGCTAGAACTTCAGAGAGACTCCTTAACCTCTGTAAGCAGATTTTAGCAGTGTATGCTGAGATCTGCCACCACTGAGTCTTTTTGCCATCATCTATGCTTCAGTTAATGTATTTCCACATGCATTTAGTTCTTTACTGCTTTTGAAACAACACGCACACACACACACATAACCAACAGACATATCTACAGCTATATCATCTGGATGTCTGTTGATTATATATTTCCTAGGTTCTATGACAATGACTATCACATATTTTTCATTGTAGCTTTTATATAATTTTCCAGGTGAAGAGGAGGAATAATCCTGATTTATAGTCATATTAGAAGTTATAGTCTAGTAAAATTGATGTATATATATTTCAGATGTGGAGAGACAAATTTTAAGATGCTGAGGTTCAAGTGCACTATTACTATTAGATTCCCATACCCCTCAGAACATTATTTACTATGTTTTTAAAACTTGATCATAAAATAAAATATAAATATTTAACAATTCATTTGGCTGAATCATCACAAAAATAATTGGTAAAGAACATATTTTGCTGAGCTTTTCAGTTATCCTGTTTGGAAGGAAAACATTTTCTCTCCTCTTTTTCACTTTCTCCCTGTTTCTTTCAATCAACAATTAGGTTTGAAGAAATAATTCCATATCTCCAGGTTCTTGAGTTATCAATCTGCTCTCTTTCTAGTCTCAGGATTGTTTATTTATTGCTGTTTTTCTGTTTTCTAGGTTAGAATGCTTAATGCAGTTCTAGCAAGGAAATGCTTACCTTTCTTTCAACCTTCTGGTTTCCTTAGAGGATTTGGTACAACACTGAAATGTGATTGGCAATATCTATTCTCAGGGACTGCCTCTCCTTTTCAAACAAACAATGGGTTAGGCAGTCCTCTGAAGTATACAGGCACCACTCCAGGCTATTATTTTGAATAATCTGCTTTGGCACAGGAACACTCATGCAAGGTGTTGAATGTCTTAAAATATGCGGCACTACATGAGTGCCTACAGCACCTCAGGGTAAAAACTGAGCCCAGTATAAGAATGAATGATGGAGCCTTTGTGCTTTTCTCAATGTTCAAGCAGGTGTACTGGCATTTACACATGCCTATGTGATGTAGCTTTCAGACAGAGATAAAACACTTTGATGATTATACATTTCTACTGTACAAGGAATTCATCACCATGCTAAGGCAGTTTGCTTCTAATTGTTATGTTGTTTCCCCCTCTCTCACATTATCTTGTTTTATGGGAGAGGTGATTTTTATAAAGCTACATTTGCTGTACATTTAATTTTGTAAATATGAAACCAAATCAAAGGGAATTGCAGTGAGCTCTTATGTTTAAAGTAAAAATACACATTGATGTCTAAGGAAGAAAACCAACAAGATTCACTTAGGGGAGAATTCAATGTCAATACATTCTTGGAATGAATGGTTTCATAACTAGATATTATTAAATTGGAGGATATTGCAAGATTTTCTGTGAAAAATTGATTAAATATGCATGTGGAAATTGGAGGAGCTTGGTGCATGATGTGGAGGGAAAAGTAAATATATGTAGGGAAAGAGATTAGAGAATCACACTCAAATGGAATGTGTAAAGAAATAAGGAAAGTCTTTTTACACTAAAGAGCACAATTCAAGCAATTGAACCCAAGTAATGCAGATTTAGCTCAGCAGTAAAATGTTGACACTGATGGAGATATAGAAAGATAGATAGATAGATAGATAGATAGATAGATAGATAGATAGATAGATAGATAGATCTGGATCTAGATATATGGAAAGATATAAGTGAAAGAAATGCTTACCTTTCTTTCAACCTGGTTTCCTTAGAGGATTTTGTTCAACATTGAAATGTGATTGACAATATCTATTCTCAAGGATCACTTCTTCTTTTGAAACAATGGGTTAGGCAGTTCTAACCCATTACATATCTGTATATGTATATATAGAACCTACATATCTATCTATGTATATAGATGCATATATCTATTTCTATCCTTAAAGGAATGCTAAACATACAGAGAAGAATTACAGGAACAATTAAAAATATTGTGAAATGGCAGCACTATTTTTGCTGAAAAAAGTAAAAGGATGCTTTTTTTTATTACTCATTGTATGTTACAGAATGTTTCCAGAAGGTGAGATTTGAGCAGGATTGTTAAAAGATGTGGCCTTACCTATGTGATAATTTTTATTTTTAGCCATTCCTTCTCACTTTCCACTCCAACATTTGTAAATTTTGTGCCATATCTAACTGCACTAATTCTCTCAACCCCAGATGATTTTTCCAGAAGTTATTTCATCCACCTAATATTATCACTCTTCCATCATTTTACCTTAAGCTACAGTCTTCGTGAGGATGACTGAGTTTATACCTAAAATGGACTTACAATAGTACTTGACAAAAAACTATTCATAATTACTAGTACTAATATTAAAATTACTATTAGAGGAGGAAGAGGCAGAGGAGGAGAAAAGAAAAAGATTTAGGAACACAGAGGAAGGCTCTGTTAATTCAAATTGTGCCTGGTAGGACAATAAGATTTCCAAGAAGAGTTGAAATTTACACAGTTCTAGGGTAAGCTTTTGCCAAGTGAGATCTAGAAGTATAATTAAGTCACAGGGAGCTACAAAAAGATAATTAAAAAGTAAAACAGGGCCTCCCTGGTGGTACAGGGGTTAAGACTCAAGCTATGGAGCTGTTTGCCGCCACTGTAGCATGTGTTCGATCCCCGGCCAGGGAGCTGCCCACAAGAAATTTAAGCAAGTTTAAAATTAGTCTTCAAGGGTTTTAGATGACTGGATAAATATGAGTGACAGACTCTAAGACTGTCTCTGATGTTCATACCCTTATATAATCACCTCCCCTGAGTTTAGGGAGGTCTAGGACTTCTAACCATAATGCTATGGCAAAGTTGGTAACATGTACATAACTATGTTACCTAAAATTGTAATAACCTTCATCATTT